GCAATGGAGAATGAAAGTATGAGTTGATAACACCCCCTCCGATTCATGCTCTCATTGATTAACTCATAACCATGTGCCATATTTTATCTTGCGAGACATACAAGACAAAAAAACAACAAAAAACAAAAGAAAAAAACTATTGTGTGACATATGCTTCTAATGATGAAGTTGGTTTTCCTTCCTTTTCATTTGTGAATCATATTGTGTAAACAAGAATCTTTGGTGAACAAAGTCAAGGCTACTAGTGTTACTAGAGTGCTGATGCTGCAATCTGTTACTATGTGGATGTATGAATATGTATGTGAGAAATAAGAATACTTTGATCAACTGTTACAGGTACTTTATATAAAAACCTTTACAAGCATGGTGTTCTGTATTTTGTTCAGGTGTTATGACTGACATTGAGACAGTTCTTACTCGGACCACAGAAAGGCAGCAGAGAGTCTCTGAAGCTGCACATTTGAGGCAGCTGAAGAGGAGCTGGGAGGAAGAGCATCATAATAATTTTGAAAAAATGCAATTACTGCTCACTAGCTCCCTAACCTGACACTTGAGAGTCATTAAGAGCAGGTTTAATTTTTATTGGTGATAAAAAAAATTTAATACCAAATCCCTCAATTCATTGATTATTCTGCTCTATACATCTGACATAAAGAGAAACGTACTGATAATGCTAAACACTTAAATACTTGAACTTTAATCATAGTTTCTGATGAGTTTATATTCAATTGAAAAACTGATCATACTAACCTCTGTAGTCTGATAAAAAGCGAGAAACAAAACAGAACAAAAAAACAACGGCTGCTAGGCTTCTGAGCATATAGTACATACAGTCCTTCTACAGACCTAGTTTTACACTAAACTGAAGGGACAAAAGACCCAAGGTATTACCAGAGACTTGTCTAAGAAAGAGACACAGCACAGCATCCTGATTTCAATCCTGATTTGACACCAGGGAGCGTTTGCAACTTTTATTAAAGAGGCTATGAAATTCACAGAAAGAGACCTTTAGGTCTGGTGAGTATAGCAAGTCTATAGATTATTTACAAGAGCCTAAATGGAAATATAGTTTGTTTCTTTAAGGTGGTGATGGTGGGGTAGCAGGCAGGCCAAGATAATCAACAGGAAGTGAGAAGAAGGGCAGTGGAGAATGGTCAGGTAGGCGAGATGTAGGTAGGTGCTGGTCGTGAGTGCAGGTGAACTGTTATTCGTGAGAGTTTACTTTTCCTCTGTGCTTACAGGAACCAGAGAGGATAACCATCCAACCATCTTTGAAGAAGAACATTTCACACCACCAGGATGGAGGCCCAAACTGGTCCTTAGATCCTGCATGATGAGAAAATGACTAAGAAACAGACGAAAAGAGAAGGACGAGGCAGACTTACAGAACAGACCTCATATGACACAATATGACTGTACATAAGTCAGCTGATGTAACCTCTGACCTGCTTCCTTTGAATGCTTGGAAAACAAAGGAGCCCAATCAGTTGCTTTTCCCAGTGTAGTTGCCCCACTCTGGCAGGAATAACTTTGTGATTCCATTTTTTTAACAATAAATCACCATAACTAAATAAAGTGTGGAGTTGTCTGAATCTGAATCAAACAATGGTGAATATAGACGAGTCTAATTCTGTACATTTAAACTGAACTTAACTGAACTCTGTCAGCTAACCTTCCACCTCAACAGCTGAAGAAGTTACGCATGTTTGATCAAAGTTAGAGTCAAACTCAAAATTTTGGAAACTTCAAGATTGAAATGAAGTAATTAAAGTGCAGTAACAATCTACTACTTCTTCCCTTAAAGCAGACCTTCCCAAAGTGTGGGGGCTGCCCCCTAGGTGGGGCGCAGAGCCATTGCAGGGGGGGGGGGCGCGGTATGAAAAGGGAAGAAAAACAAAACAAAACAAACAAATGCTTGGACACTGCTAGCACGGGGCGCCCACACAAACGCAAAGCAGGAGATGAAGCATCGCTGAATATGTTTCCAAACCAACTTCATTCTAAGCCAAAGACTAGAAAATATGGTGAAGCTTATCTGCCCTTTGGCTTCACCTGCACAGGTGCTGAGGTAGGTCTCCCTGCGGAATTGCTTTTCCCTTCGTCGGGAGCAGCGCTGGGCTGTTCAAATCACGGACAAACAGGATCCCACATTCTTGATTTTTAGTTCACAAACACTTGTTGTAATGACTAACTAATCCTGACATTTTGGAGATGTTAGCTCTTTATACAGTAAAGCTACAGCGGGATACAAATAACATCAGACTGATCCTGCCACGATTCGTTCCCCCAGTTCAAATCACGGACAACAGGATCCCACAGTTGTTTATGTTTTTAAACCCATTTTGCACAGAGAGGCATTTTTTGAAAAATGTATTGATAGCAATGTTGAATATTATTACACAGGGAAAAAAACTACAGTAAAATAATCACACTGTGACGCCTCTGCCTTTCTAAATGGAGGGACAGTAACTGTGTGTAAAACCTGCAGACAGTCAGAGTAACAGTATTTTGTCTCTATCTGCCATTCTGCAAATCATTTCATGTAAACAATAACGTGCACACAGCGTGACGTGAAAAAGGCACATACCTTTGACATTGTGTTATGAACTCTGTATTCCTCGTCCACACGTAAACGCAAAAAAGGAGTTTTAAAAAAATCGCAGTTTTCGGTGATTCGAAACATCGTTTACGTGGACGAAACAGCTGCGTTTTCAAAAAATACCCGTGTAGGTGCGGACGCAGCGTAAAAGAGTTTATTTTATTACTACCTGTAATTTATTGCAGATTACTTGTATTTGCCTAATTGTTTACTAAATGTTTGAGGTGTTAAATAAACCAAAATGGAGCAAAATATGGGCGCGTGTGGTTGGAGGATGTGTTTGTGCGCGTGTGTTTGTGTGCATGCGCAGAGGGGGGGGGGGGGGGGTCCAACATTTTTCTTGTAAAACAAGGGGGCTTAGCAAAAAAAGTTTGGGAACCACTGCCTTAAAGGGTTTAATGGTTTTAATGAGAGATCACCTTGAATATGATTGCATCAACGTGTCTCTAAAAGCTGGGAAGGGTGATGTTTACCACTGTGCAGCATCACTTCTTCTTTCAACAACAGCACATCCACTTCTGGGAACTGAGGAGAGAAGCTGCTGGAGAGGAATGTTGTGCCGTTCTTGTCTGATGGAGGATTCTGGCTGCTCAGCAGTCCTGGCTCTGCTTTCTGTTTTATGACACTTCAAATGTTTTGAGTTGGTGAAAAGTCTGCATTGCAGGCAGGCTGTTCCATGCTGCTTTAATAGATGCAGTGTGTGGTTTAGCATTGTCTTACTGACATATTCAAGGCCTTCAGTTAAAGAGGCGTCACTGGATGGGAGCAGATGTTGCTATGAAATCTGTATATAGACCTTTGAGCATCAATGGTCCCTTCCCAGGTGGTTTCTTTGCTTTCTGTCATAAAGATTTTGGGTTTTTGAGATCTGCAAATCATTGTATTCAGTTTTTATTTACATTCTACACAACTTCCTGTTAGGAGAACTCACACGGATGGATTTAGTGGCAGAAACACACACGGGCACAAGATAGTAGTGATGCAGATTTATATACAATGATAGGGAAATATTTACAAGGGAAGGGGCTATATACAGTGACAGGTAAAAATGTGCAAGAAGAGCAGAGCTGAAGAGACGAGACGGAGCCGAGGTATGCGGGTGGGCAGATGACGCACCGGAGCTACCTGAAAACGAGGGACAAACAAAGTTTACGGAGTAACGTCGATAGTCGAGAGTTAAACTAAAGTGGACGGGGAGAGTTGGAGAGCTTACTTGAAACACAGAACTACAGCTGTAGCGGTGGTCACAGACTGGTATGAAGTAACTCTCCGTCACGGATCCAAAGAAGCCAACACAAAGAAAACTAGGCAGGCAGCGGGACAGGCTAGAAAAAAGAAGAAGCAGGCAGGAGATGGCTCCTCAAAACATGCAGCTCAATAGCGTGGAATCAACAGATTCAGCTTGCACCAACACGTTACCACTTATGACAGCGACAATACTCCGACACCAGACGTCCGTGACTCAGCTCCATAAAAGCGCTCACTGATGACGTCCGATGCGCCGCAGGTGTGCCGGAATGCCATCAAGCCCCGCCCCACCTACCTATGCCAAAAAGGGAAACAAAACCCAAAAAACAACAATACAACTACCCACCACCTCCTAACACTTCTCAACTTTTGATAGAATAAACTAGAAGTATGGTAAACGGCCTGTATTTATATAGCGCTTTACTAGTCCCTAAGGACCTCAAGGCGCTTTACATATCCAGTCCAGCCCAGCTGGAACCGGCAACCTTCCGATTACAAGGCGAACTCCCAACTCTTGAGCCACGATCGCCCCAAGTATGCTTTTAAGTTTTAAGTTTCAATGTGCTGTTGCTAGTTAGCTAAGAGATCTTGCAGGAATAATATTAGAGTAAAAATAATCATTTAAAAACACCCCTACATTAATGTCCAGTTTATGTTAGAGTGTTATCTGTTGTGTCAATATGATTCTTTAATGTAAACACAGAAGTTAGCCGATCATCGTTGCCTGAGACTTTCTTCAGCTTCCTGCTTCTTCCTGCTCTAACTTTGTGCGCTTTAGCAAGTCTCAGCTGCTGTCAGGACCTTTAAGCGATCAAACAAACATACAGCCTGGACGGAGCGCTGCTGTCCGTGGTGCTGAATTAGTTCAGCCGTGGGGTGGTGCAGTTCAGCAGCGTGTGGGGCAGAGCGCTGTCCGTGGTGCTGACATGCAGAAATCGGAGGCTCTGGCTTCATTTACAAAAAAATAAAAAGCCGATAAATGGAGGCAGGATGACACTTACTGCACTGAAAGTCACTTTAGAATTTAGAAAGTTCACATTATTGTTATTAGAAAAAGGGAAAAGAAACTGTCTAATATATGTGCACGTGCCAAATATGCAAACGCTATCCACCGGGATGCCACCTTTAACAATGTAGACCCACTTTTGCTCAAAGAGCCAGACGAGTAGGGTGACGTCTCCCTCCGCTTCCGCTCGAATCAGCCAATCAGAGCCGAGTGAGCCGCAGCTTATAAGCCCATCTGCTGTCGATCCTTTCGCCCTGACCGTCCCTGCTGTCCTGTGTGCCGCTGACTCAAACTGCAGCCCCTGATCTACCGCAACCGTGAAGATGGCGACCCGGGTAAGCTCCGTGCGCTGCGTTTATTCCTGTAACAAACCGCTCTCAGTCCGGCTCGTGGCTGGTAATGAAAGAAGCGCACCCGCAGAGCAAAATGTCGGACGAGCCGTATGTGCGGACTGTCAGGGGTCTCGGTACACGGAGCACTTGAATGTCACCGCGACTGCGGACTCTGGTGTTTATTTCACACCGTGTGATAACGCGTAGCTTGTGCAGCAATTTGCTACAGGACGG